GTTCCTTTTCAATACATTAGCCTATATGGCTGTGGTTATGTATGCGCCCGCAGTTGCGCTTGTTCAAGTGACAAAGTCGACGTTGTGGCCGTTCATTCTGGTTTGTGATATTTATCGAATGATCGTTCAAATTTGCTCATTCGATTGCCTGATCTATTCAATCATAGAAGAAGTAACATGCGATAACATGCGACTATGACTGCACAATATTCTTTATATTGTACGTTTGGTACCACTGTCATATCTATCGTATTTACATCCACTTACAATTTGGGGTCGGGGATTGTAATTTTGATGAGGTAATCCACTTGCAGTTCGTGCTATTTCTTGATATATCGATTGAGCTATGATTAGCTAAGATTAAAACGATAGAATTCAGAAAAATTTTTGTGTGACTAACGATAAGCCAGGCTTCCACTTCATAGCGTTTGTTTGCTCTGTGATTTTATCGCACGTCATGATCTATGTACATTGAGAATATCGCATTAAGTTTTTCATACTGTTATCGCTATTGAGTTGTACATGAATATTATAGTTCAAAATGATGTTTGCAAAATTACGATAGTCCACGCTGGTATTTTCTGAAAACCGATCGCAGACAAAACGCTGACATTTTCATATGTTGCCATTTCTCGTGTGCATCCCTCAGACATTTTCAAGTACAGCTGATAAACTTTTTGCAGTATTTATCTGATTTGTTCAAAAATTTTGATGTGTGCGTTTTAATTTATGACCGACTGGCGCTCATCTGTTGTCTGTGCAGATTTTTCAAAAGGTGTCAATCATTTAAGTGCACGCGTTTTTCGCCTTCTCATAAATAAAATATGCTGAGGATGTGGATTCTTCTGATGAGAAAAATTAATTTCGAGTGTCTGAAAGACAATCTGACGGAAAAAGTTCATTTGCTAAAAGCCATTCGAACTGCCATTAAATGAGTTTTGAGCCAAACCGAATCTTTTTTCCTGTTGCTATTTTTGTCATAGTGCTCACTCCGAACAAATATCATTTCTGTAAAATTAACCATTAACCACTGACCATTTTCATCGTTCAAGTGAACAAATTTTACAGGGCGTCGGTTTTGTGAGTACGTTGTACACAACACTCGGTGGGATAAAAGCTGTTATATGGACAGATGCACTTCAGGGTGCTTTCATGTATGTGGGTCTGTTTACGCTCATTATCAAAGGCACCATCGAAGTTGGTAAGGTAAAAATTTAGTTTTGCAAATTTGAATCAACCTTTGATTAAGCAAAATGTAATTCCTTACATTAGTAAGAAGTGCGTTTTTTCAATCAAAAGCGAAAAAAATAAGCCATGAATTCGAAATTCAACGGAATTTTACGAAATGTTACTTTTTTTGAACTTTTTATTTTTTCGACTCTCTTTGAAAGTCAATGAACTGCACAGAGTTACTTAAGGTGGCATATCGAAAGTTTTCGAGACAAGTTATGAAACGGGAAGACTCACGAAAGCTATGGCACGATTCAGTCCGACACCGTTTCAGGTGTTCTTTGGGTTTATTCCTTCCCAGTTTTTTTTTCATCGCTTGTGGATGATTCTTCTTTTAATCAATCATAGAATTCTTGTGATGCGACGAGAATTTACTTTTTCATGCTGTCACTGTGAGTCATCATTGTTTTGTCACCGTACTCGAATTGCTCTTCAGTAATGAAATTGACAATGCAAATTTTTTTCTGCGAAAAGAGTCGCTTGGGGTTGAATTCTCCGAAATTTTGATGACTCAAATCATGATTGGTC